ATAAACATCTACAGGAGGATAGAAGAGGCAAGAGTTGAGAAAGAATTAACAATAATCAGTCTTTGATAATGTTCTGCAACACAGTCCATGCACTTCCTCACTAGTTTCTTACAGTTTGCATTGCTAATAACACATAACACAATATTAGAGTGGTTGCTTCATCAGTGTTAATGTGTCTAGTTTTGGAATGCAACCCAATGCTGTGCCAAAATGTTATAACCATTTATTGACAGAAAAAGGTAACAGAGAGGCTTGTTCTTCCAAACTAGATGCTCTTACAGTATGTGTTGAAAGTGTCATCCCTTCTAAGAGTGCACATGTTTGTTTGAGACAAAACGGAGTGTTTGAAAGACTACTGTCTATCTTTCCATTATCAAACCTCTGATCTTCTGTTTCCCGATCATCTCCCACTGACACATAGGCAACATGTTTTCTGTAGCACAAGGAAGGAAGTTTCATAGTTTCATTGTTCTATTTTAGCATGCATTTGCACTTTATTTCCACATACTTTGCTACTGTTACAGACCAATAGTTAAAGAAGTTCCGAGGTATGATTTTCTGTCTGCAGGTGAAGATTGTGAATGCCATGCATAGCCATTGTGCTAACATGCCAAGAAAAGCAAGCGTGTAATAACATGTTAGTAAAGCTGAACTGATATTTAAATGTATAACTTTTAACAATAACTTGTATATGTTAGGACATTGAAGGGAGCATAGGCCCATGACAATTACACTTTTAACATAACGTTATAGACTAATAAAATAAACTCTGAAACACCTGAGGTAACAGTATAATACATGCAAAACATAACTCAATGCATGTTTTAGGTTGTCTTCATGAGCCCTTTCTCCCCTCCCCAGATGCACAACCTTTAAATAAATAATATGGCAAGCTATAAGGAAAATTAAATGAGTTCCAACAGGGTGTAGTTAATTTACATAACATCATAAGTGTAATACAAAGTCAATGTTTCAGTGCTCTGAGAGCCATGTTTGATGAGGGGCACTAGCTGGCTACACAACTGCTAGCTTGCGTTAGCAGTGATAGAGGAAATCATGTAAATACTAATTTGTCATAACACGGTTAAACGTGGGAACCCTTTGCGAAGCACCCAGCATAGATGAGTCACACTGCAGCTAACCAGCTGCCAAAGGCGTAATGAGCTATCTGGGTTATAAACAAACATGGCGTTAGCTGGTTAACGCAACAAGACAAGGGGAGCTAGCTAACTCGCCTCCATTAATGTTCTGCTTTTGTTCGCTGGCTTGCTTTGCAACAAGGAGGCCTGTATAATCATATGCTTAACTAGCTTGCTGCTAAGTAAACACAAACACTCTTCCTCTCTACGCCTCCATTCCTCACTCCCTGCTCATCTCGCTCAGAGAAAAGAAAAAAAGAGAAAAAAAGTCTCGAATAAAAAAAAACCAAGAGTGAAAAAAAACGCCGTCGACTCTGTAGGAGACGCAGCTTCATGCAGACTTCCGGCGGTCGGGACGAAGGCGCTTTCAGACACACTGAAAATAACACTTCATTAACAGCCGACTAATAACTCCAGTGTTAATTACCGGTCAAATGGATTCCCCTGCAACCCCCCCGGAGCCTCCTCGGGTCGGGACAGTTGGGAAACTTTGTCCAAATCCGCCCCTCAAATATGCCTTTTTTTCTTCGCTTTTTTCCCTTTTTTCCCCTCCAGCTCTCCTCAGCAGTGTCAAGTAAATCCGATGTAAACAGTGGCGTTTCCGGTCACAACTTTAAAAAATAAAACCCATGATTAACAACCATTGCGTTATCCAAAAGCCAAGATGATAAGTGGCTTGGAAAATCCAAATTAAATGTTAAGAAAATGTCTCATTAATTTGAGATACTAATTCGTAATTTGAGGAATAGTTTGTTTTGGTAATGACTTTTTATTATTATTAATTGGCTTCCATATTATTATTATAAGTGGACGATTTAATGAAAACATACCATGAACTGTACTCTTTTGAGTAAATTCATATATTTCATAGACTTCCTATTCAGCAGTACACTCTCCATAATGTGTTGGTTCCACTTACTTTTTTCTTTCTTTTTGCACATGAATGCAGGGCCGGTTCTAGACATTTTGGTGCCCTTGTGAATTTAAAGACAAAACTCTCTTATTTCCTGTAATAGTTCAGCTAGCTAACTTAACACAGCTGCAGACGTCCGGTGTATTAATTATCCTCTCAGTGTGTGGATTCGGTATTATGATTATCAAATAATAATGAATTGTTTGTCTTTGATTGGACACCATGGCTATTGAGCATAAAACACATCTCAATTTATTTGTAATTACTCCTTAGAAGGCACTGTAGCTCTAATGGAGCAGCTCAGTGCTAACAGTGGAAAACTCAAGCTCCAAAGAATTGTCAATGTAACCGGACATCTTAAATCAACATTACATTTAGTTAATCTTTACTAAACTCCATCATGCATTTAATAACTCCATCATAGGGTCACCTAAAAACATGCAGTTACATTTAAAAAAACAACAAAACATGCCCATTGATGACAAATAAAAACAGGAACACATATATACGGCCAAACGCATGCACAAATCAAACGTACAAATATAAGTAAAGATTAGTAATATAAAATGTAATTGTTCTGTTTTCGGTCGAACGCACTTATTGTAAGTCGCTTTGGATAAAAGCGTCAGCTAAATGTAATGTTTTCAGAATAGCAGAGAACACAGTTTGGTTTCCCTTTAACGAACAGAAACTTTATTGTGTATAGGATTGCAACATCTGCACAGACAGTAATTACAAAGCATCAAAGTGCAAATCAGTGAGTTGAAATAACACAGAAAACTTTACAGCCTAAAATACATTTACCTTAAACACTGCCTTTAGTTACAGTTGTTAATGGTAGCGTGTGAAGCAAACAGTACTGTATTCAATATCAAATATAGACTGAATAAATATCTATATGAAATGCAACAGAGTACCATTACAATTAAAACATCCCAAAAATAGAGATCACAGTTCTATAGCCAATACATTTCCTTCTACTTGGTAATTTCACATTAAAGCCGCACAGTATTGACTGAAAACATATGCATTTGCATATAATAAAGTTACAGTTAGTGTAACAATTATGCATCAAAACACTAGTGTCCCTCTTTTAATAGATTGAATGTACTTTCAGAATGCCATTGCAACACATTTGGCTGTGCTGTAATCAGCAGTTCGAAGGAAACACACATGGCCACAGATGGATAAATAGTGAGGTGTTTAGGCCGGTTTTTCATGGAGGAACAATACTATTATAGGTTCAGTGCTGTCAAAATAAATTAGACATGCATTTATTTTTCTAGATCTATAAAATACAGTTCCAACATAAAACATGTTTTGAACACCCAGCCCGGTGACAGTGTGATACAGTTATGGAATAAGGCAAGTTAGAGCACTTTTTAAGAACTAACACTTCAGAGCTAGCTCCTAAACCTTTACCCGCATATCATTCTGGGTGACTTTATTTATGAAATAACTATTATAAAATGCAAGACATTTTAAATGTTTTACAATGATTGGATTAGTATTAACTTTGTATCATAAATAAGTTAACAAATCAATACAGTACACAATACAGCAAGATTGACCAGAATACAGTGAAATAAAGAAAAATAAATCAACTTCTCATTTGATCTATTTCAACAATCATTCCTGACCAAAGCCGAGCAATCCTTCCCCTGAAGTACAAGCTGTAAACAGTAATCCTTAAAAAATAAACACGAATACTTTACAGTTTAGCATTTCCATACATTTACCTCAAAATGAAACTCTGGTATTCCCATTGCTTCAATTGAAGGTTAAAGCTACCCACTTGCTCCACAAGCTACATCTTTATGAGAGCTGCTACATAAATGCCACAATAACCCAAATGGTGCCCCACTTCCCTTTAGGCATACAATACATGTAGTACACTGTACAAGTTTCAAGGGAGCCTGAACCACAAGTCTGAGTTTTTTTATAGCTTCCGTTTTAGCCAAGATCTGTTGGACTTTCAGCATATCATAATGCCTATAGTTGATCAATTAAGAGTTTCATTCTCTTATCATATTACATATATACATTGTATGTACTGTATGTTGTATAGATAGGCTGATTTACAGTGAGGTTAAAAGTACATAGATTTACATTTCTAGGCTTGCCAACAATATAATCATCTAGTAGAAAGGGCTGTAAAGTGACCATTGCAGTGCTCTGATGACAGTTCTAAAAAAATATCAACTAGTTAGTAACATGTTAAAGAGCTTAGGACATAAAGTCAAGGGAGATGGACATATGGGTGGGTTAGTATACAGTAAGTGAACATGCACAACTTTTGCTAATAATTTAAGTCACAGAGAAATGTGTGGCATGGGTCTGCTGCACTGCTTTTTGTATTATAATACTGGTATGCTTTGAGCAAAAGGGCTATTACAAATATTAACACTGATTCAGCAAGTGGACGTTAGTATGAATGGAGAACACACAAATAGAAAATAGAAATCAATGACAGATATAAAGAAAGTATGTAGTAATGGCATACATGTTAACACATTGCATTATCATTTTGATTACCTGTTTGCTTAGAGCAGGGGTGTCAAATTAAATTTCATCACGGGCCACATCAGCATTATGGTTGCACTCAAAGGGCCAGTTGTAACTTTAAGACTATATAAAAATACATATACAAATATTTAATATATATAAAATAATGTATTACATTATTGCCTCTGAATTGGATTATTATCGGATATGGTAATAACTTCATAATTAACTACGTCTGAAAGCAGAAGTCTAGGGAAAGTAATTGCAAGTCTCTTCAGTAAGAATGTCACAAAATGATTTAAAAAGAAAAGCCAAATTAAGACATTTTGGAAAAAAAATCTAATTCTGAGAAAAAGTCAAATTCTAAGAAAAAAAAGCATATTTTGAAGAAAAAAAAGTCAAATTCTGAGAAAAAAGTCAAATTTGAGATGCATTGTGGGACATGTAGTTTATGGGCAACGTGCTTCTGTAAAGTAGCATGTAACCGTATAATAAACATATTATATTCTTTGCAAGCTCTTGTGGGGCCACATAAAATGAAGTTGCGGGCCGGATTTGGCCCCCGGGCCTTGAGTTTGATACCCCTGGCTTAGACCATCCATGACAACTTGAAAAATCTAATTTCAAAATGATTACACTAATCAAATCCCATGATGAGGATGAGTGATGGCCATGACCACAGGCGGTGGTTTTGTCCTAGTATTAATTAGAGTATGACATGTTAGAAGGATTAGGAAATGAAGCCGTGTTTGTGTTACAAACTCATGTTAAGATGCACTTAAGGTTTGGCAGCAAGGCAGTGGACAGGCAGTTATGGAGGAGACATTTACAGTTAAACACAGACAGTGAAAGTGACTCAGACAAATAAATAATTCTCAATACAGTGACACAGACACACACAATGTGACATACTGCAGAGAGAAAAACAGGGATGAAAAGAAAAAGGAATTTTAAAATGAATGGGGGGAAAAAGTATGGGATACAAAGAGGCTTCTGTTAAAAGGTGTTGTTGCTAAGCATTTAAAAGTCTGGTAAAGTCAAAGTAAATTAAGTCACAGTCTGGGTTTTTTAAATAAAGTATGTGGAAGAATTGTAATTTGAATGTCATGGGATTATGCTAAATGTAATAAAAAAAAACAGTAGCCTATATAAAAACAACAACCGAGATAACAACAGTGACAGTAGCCAGAGGAGCACAGTACTTCAGATCACATAGAGCCGCGTATCGGTGATCAAATATGATATTTTCGCAACTCCGAATCACAGCTGAAGACTAAATGGGATCAGAGGAGAGAGGCTGTTAGTGTGAGCAGACTCATGCAAAGAGCTGGAGTGGATCTGTCTGGTCACCACACTGCTGTTTCTCTTCAGCCGGTACCTGAGGTCACCTGCAGGAAGAGGGCAAGAGAGGGAGAACTTTCTTTAAGTTCCATGTATCATTTCTTTGTATTAATAACACATTATAACTTAACCTTATTAGTTTAATATATTGTTAATATATTGTTGTTGTTTGGTATTTTTTTTGCACCATTGGTTAAAGTAACTCAACTATATTCGTATGAATTTGTCATACAATGAGAGAAGATGATCATAATTGAGTTGTTAACACAAAGCGTCACTAGTCGACTTGCCCGTGTTGGTTTTAATCTGTATTCTTTATTTATGTGACATTAGTATTTCATGTTTTATTCTGCTTTTCTGTTATGTGACATTTCTGTATTGTCTGTTTAAATGTTTTTTTTATGTGGTCTCTGTGCAGTCTAAAGGATGGAAATGTTGTTATAGTAATTGTGAATAAAATGTGGAAGAAAAAGTTATTTGCAATGGTAACACTTCACATAAAAATGTCCGTCGCCCAGACTATCCTGCTGTGTTGATTGTAATGGTAATATCTGTCCTACTCTCATTCTAGTTATGTGGTCTCACTGCCCTATATCAACCCATGATAAGAATAACTAGAGAATGCAATTCCTGAAGAAATTGCTAGTGGGAATGGTTTATGCTGAAAAGCTGACGCTAAACTGCTATGCTGAAATGTAATGTGTAAGAAGAAAGTGAAGAATTTAGATTGAAATGATACATGAACACTGGGTGCTTGAATGTGTGATGAGAGAAGAAAAGAAAGTGAAAAGCAGCAGAATATTTGAACTGCAAACTTTTGAACTAACTTGATGGCGAATTATCTGTCGCCATGGCAACGGCATTTGATGACACACCATAAAACGCTTAGATGCGTTGATGGCTGCATCGTTACCAAACCTGTGAAGTGTTGGGCCATTTCGAGCATTTGAACTGAAGTTGTGAGAAAACCGTGTTTCATAGTGAGCATTGTGTTGCCAAGGCAACGGCATTTGAAGAAATCTTAAAACTGTCAAATAGATGTTTTCACGGCTGGACACATGTCACATGTGAAGTTTGAGCACTTTAATAGGAGTTATAGCAATATAGCGTTTTACGGGCTGGGATGCGTTGCCATGGCAACAGCTTTTGAGGAAAACTCACTAATGGCACACAGACATGTTGAAGGCTGGACCATTAACCATTACCTGAAGTCTGCTGCTCTGAGCATGTGAGTTGGAGTGATGACATCATCGTGTTCCATGACACAGGTGTTTATATTTGAGCTAACGAGGTGTGCAGAGATCACAGGTTTCCATTGTTCTGAATGAGAGATAAACCTCTTACATGTGAACGTAAGAACCGTAACAGATATCGGTGAAATTTCAACGCGTGAAGCATGTCAAGGAACTTGAGCATCTCAAGTGTAATTTTTGTGTACTTTCGGGTTAATAATGTGGCCTTTTTGGCAGATTAACTAAAGGTGTGCGGCTGCTGCCGTGAGTAAAGATCAGCTTGAATTTACAATTGGCTTTAATGGAGACATGTTGAAAGTTTTTGTCACCTCATGCCCTCAAGAGGCATTTTGTTTAATTATTTTTGCCTAATTATTTTTCATTTTTCAAGCTACGAGATGTTTTCCTACATTTGTCATGAAAAAATTATGTCTCAGGAGTGTAGGGTTTGGGAATTATGGCAGGTTTGAAAACAAATATGAAGGCGAATTTCAAGCTGTCCTCCACTCTAGCTTTGAGATCACACACCTTATGGAGCTGGTCAATACACACTAATGTTAAAATCTGAAGAAGGGCTCTTTACCAAGGTCTGAACAATGTTTAATATCTCTAAAAGTATGAATCAGATTTAAAAGTTGTTTAACACGAATAATGTCAGAAAGATGTGTAACATTTTAAAGTTGGAATGAGGTTTCTGAGTGAAAGTATGAAGGAACAGTTAGCAGTTGAAGTCGCATGAAGATTTTTCAAGTCTGAAGAGTTTCTCCATTGACTTCCATGTTAAAAATGGGATGTATCTCTGGAATTATGAAAGTTATGAATGATAAAAGTAATAGCCATTTATTCCCGACCGAGCTGAACGTTTTGATGTTTGAACGGAGTTTCTGCGATGTTCAATGTGGGAGAAGAAGTGGCGCAAAATAACAAATAATTTTGTGCGTAGCATAACAGATAGTTGGAATGCTGTGTCAGCATTCCAACTAAACTATCATACAAATAAATAAATGAATGCTGCTTTTTTAAACATTCTTGCATCATCGAGACAGGACATGTATCAGCAGACCAGAGTCAGAAAAGTTATGGATGTGTTACCTGGGAGATGTTGACTCCGGTCAGTTTCTCCACGGCGGCGGGGAGGCGGACCATGATGTCCATCACCTCTCCTGACAGTTTGGCTGCGCCCACCTCCCCCCCCCCACTGGACACCATGGTGATCTTATTGGCTTCACACAGAGGCCGGCTGATCTCTTCTGCCATCTAGTGGGTGACACAGATCTTACCAAAAACTTTCAAATGAGGGTGTATACTGTATACAAAGTGTAAATGGCTGTTATGGAGCTTCATTATGGTGCCATCTCTCACCAGAGGCAGTTTCTCCAGCAGCATGTCCACCATGGCTCCATCCTTGTACTGTTGGAAGGCCTCTGCCTTCTTGGCCATCTGCTCCGCCTGAGCGCGACCTTTGGCCTCCACGGCAAACGCCTCGGCTTCACCTTTCATCTGAAGGAGACAAGGAACGTACTACCTTAGGGAACCACAAAGGGAAACTCCCATCCCAACATGATATCCACTTTGAACTATTTAGAAAGAGAGCGGAGATGGATTCAGCTGCAGAGATCTGTGACTCACCCTGATGGACTCGGCTTCAGCCTCCGCCTCCATGATCATCTTGAGACTGGACAAAGAGAGAAATGTAGAGTTATATAGAGACAGATGGTTCAGCCAGTCGTGAATTGGGTTTGTTTTCTTAAAAACTATTTGTCAGTGGCTGTAAAATACTCCACCCCGTCTTCTTTTAATCAGTGTGGGTAAGTACATGTATTCAATGTAGCTTTTTGAGCTTTTTTACGAGTGTTTATCAGTCCTGCAACTGTAAAGAATGTTTCCATATCATTCAGTTATACCTTACTACATTTTAAAAAGGCAAATATTGTTTTACTTCACTGCATTTCTTTGACAACTCTAGTTGCCTGTTACTTTGAAGATTCAGATCTATAGTCTTTCATAACCCTTCAACAACAGAGATTGTAAAACACAGGGGGTTAAATCTCAGTACTAAAACTGAAAGGCCGCCTGCCCTTCACAACACCTCACTGTAGTTTCAGAAGAGCAGCTGTTAGTGAACTTGAGTCTCACCGCTGAGCTTCAGCCAGCTTCTCCAGGCGGTACCGCTCAGCGTCTGCAGGTTTCTTCACCTTGGCCTCCAGCTCCTTCTCCCTACGGGTGATCTCCTGCTCCTGCAGCATGATCTGCTGCGTGCGCTCCACCACCTGGACCTGCATTTTCTCCTCCTCTATGCGCTGCTTCGTCTTGGCCACCTGGAAGACACACAGTACATGATTCATGTAGTATTTCGTACAGCTTTAAATCCGGTCAGGTTCCACTGAACAAACTCTTTTGAACCTCCTGTGTACCTGCAGCTGGTAGGCCATCTCCGACTCCGCCTTCTTAGTGTTCACCTCCAGGTCATAGGCTGCCTTCTTCAGCTCATAGTCCCTCTGAGCCCTCGCCATGTCGATCTCATTCTTGTACTGAGCCGAGACTTTCTCCTGCATCGCATGAGCCTCCTGCAGGGACGCAGAGACGAACAGAGTAAGGAGGCGGAAAATAGGGATCAACGGTAATCACTCTTGTGAATCATATATTAGCATACAAATGCTAAAAGTAGCAACAACAATTTTGACGGTTAACTGAGCAGAACAGATTTAGGAAAAAATGACTAAAAACTGATTTCTACAGAGAAGATGATCATCACAATATAAAGAAACCCGGTTTATGTCCTGATTTACATTTTGAGAGGAACAACAATATCCTGTGGGATGGGGGCCACGTGATATATCTCACCCTGATCACAGCATCTCTCTTGTTCTTGGCCTCTCCAATGCGGGCGTCCTTCTGAACCTGGGCTGTTCGAGCCTTCCCCAGTGAATGCAGATAATCCTGAGCACCAGAAAGAGATGTTAGTTGTGCGATCTTCATTCACTGAACAAAAATATAAACGCAACACTTTTGTTTTTGCTCCCATTTTTCATGAGATGAACTCAAAGATCTAAAACATTTTCTATATACATAAAATAACCATTTCTCTCAAATATTGTTCACAAATCTGAAAAAATCTGTGATAGTGAGCACTTCTCCTTTGCCGAGATAATCCATCCCACCATCACAGGTGTGGCATATCAAGATGCTGATTAGACAGCATGATTATTGCACAGGTGTGCCTTAGGCTGGCCACAATAAAAGGCCACTCTGAAACGTGCAGTTTTGCTTTATTGGGGGGGTCTGGGGGGGTCCGAAAACTGGTCAGTATCTGGTGTGACCACCATTTGCCTCACGCAGTGCAACACATCTCCTTCGCATAGAGTTGATCAGGTTGATGATTGTGGCCTGTGGAATGTTGGTCCACTCCTCTTCAATGGCTGTGCCAAGTTGCTGGATATTGGCAGGAACTGGAACACGCTGTCGTATACGCCGATCCAGAGCATCCCAAACATGCTCAATGGGTGACATGTCCGGTGAGTATGCTGGCCATGCAAGAACTGGGATGTTTTCAGCCTCCAGGAATTGTGTACAGATCCTTGCAACATGGGGCCGTGCATTATCATGCTGCAACATGAGGTGATGGTCGTGGATGAATGGCACAACAATGGGCCTCAGGATCTCGTCACGGTATCTCTGTGCATTCACAATGCCATCAATAAAATGCACCTGTGTTCGTTGTCCATAACATACGCCTGCCCATACCATAACCCCACCACCACGATGGGCCACTCAATTCACAACATTGACATCAGAAAACCGCTCACCCACACACGCTGTCTGCCATCTGCCCTGAACAGTGAAAACCGGGATTCATCCGTGAAGAGAACACCTCTCCAACGTGCCAGACGCCATCGAATGTGAGCATTTGCCCACTCAAGTCGGTTACGACGACGAACCGGAGTCAGGTCGAGACCCCGATGAGGACGACGAGCATGCAGATGAGCTTCCCTGAGACGGTTTCTGACAGTTTGTGCAGAAATTCTTTGGTTATGCAAACCGATTGTTGCAGCAGCTGTCTGAGTGGCTGGTCTCAGACGATCTTGGAGGTGAACATGCTGGATGTAGATTCCTGGGCTGGTGTGGTTACACGTTGTCTGCGGTTGTGAGGCCGGTTGGATGTACTGCCAAATTCTCTGAAACGCCTTTGGAGACAGTTTATGGTAGAGAAATGAACATTCAATTCACGGGCAACAGCTCTGGTGGACATTCCTGCTGTCAGCATGCCAATTGCACGCTCCCTCAAAACTTGCGACATCTGTGGCATTGTGCTGTGTGATAAAACTGAACATTTCAGAGTGGCCTTTTATTGTGGCCAGCCTAAGGCACACCTGTGCAATAATCATGCTGTCTAATCAGCATCTTGATATGCCACACCTGTGAGGTGGGATGGATTATCTCGGCAAAGGAGAAGTGCTCACTATCACAGATTTTTTCAGATTTGTGAACAATATTTGAGAGAAATGGTTATTTTGTGTATATAGAAAATGTTTTAGATCTTTGAGTTCATCTCATGAAAAATGGGAGCAAAAACAAAAGTGTTGCATTTATATTTTTGTTCAGTGTAACTTAACCAAGATACATCATCATTTTTGCTGCAGCTCTTTCTGTTGACAACAAACCCATACACCACAATCACCACCTTCCAGTGTTACTCTCTGCTATATAACATGTGCAATATTATTATTATTAATAATGTTCTATAATAACGTGCAATTACGTATCTGCCACTACGACTTTTTGCACTGTTAATATTTACATTAATTATGTGACCGTCTATGTTTCCTGCACCGTTAGTGTACAGTTTTATTATCATGCTGCTGTGTTTATTGTATTTTTGTAACTCTGGCACAACAATTTCCTTCGGGATAAATAAAGTCCTATCTTATCTTATCTCTTATGCCTCCGCCAACCTGTCGAGATATGTTTGATGATCTAATCAGTTCTTCCTTGTGGCCATGTGGACTGTTAGGCCACATTTTGGAGGATTTTTTTCAATCTATCCCTGAGAGATCGCACACACTACTCTTGACCTTTGACCCTCAAATTCTAACCAGTTTATTCATAAGTGAGAGTGTGTGTCTAAGCTATTCCCTCAAGGCGTCCTAGAGATATCGCGTACACGTGAATGAGAGGCACTGACAATCATATGGCCAAACATAATGCCTCCTGCCTTGGCTTGTAATGGCTCGGGGCAAAATATAGTGAGATGTGCACGTTGATGGCCAGTGTCAACTTTTGGTGTGCAATTATTTTCCTTGAATTAGAAGGTAAATTGGTCGTCAATTTGTTTAAAAGAATAAAAGGACCCTGGCAAACAAACAGCAAATAAACATCATTCATTCATTAATCAAACGTTTTTTTAGTGGACGTCAGATTCAAATGGCTAGTGAAGGGCTAGCCGACAAAGAGTTGCAATTATACATTTGGAAAAAGACACATTAATAAAGATATGAGAAGATAAGTGGGTACCTGGTCGTCGTGAACGTCTTTGAGCGTGTAGCTGACCACGCTGATGCCCATGTTGACCAGGTCAGAGGAGGCCACCTTAAAAACCTGCTCCGAGAACTTCTTCCTGTCCTTGTAGATCTCCTGTAGGAGGAAGAAGTTCAGTGTCTCTCAAGGTCATGAAAGCATCAGAACTATACAAGCTATTATTTCAGATATTCAACCTTGTTAGAATCAATGTGACATAAACAAACCTTTAACATGAGCTTTTCCATCTTATACTCACTGAATGCAACTAAGAACAATGACATATTTGAAACCGAGTACATTTACAAGGCAAGTTTATTTTAAGTTAAAGCCTTTTATTGTCATTATACAAAAAGTACAACGAGATTCAGAGTGCAACTCTGTCCCAGTGTGCAAAAACTAGACATACATAACATTAAAAACACGGCAGTAGGACAGACAACATAAGCAATCATACAGGGGGAATACATAGTTAAAGATATTGATATAAAAATAGTATATCATTTTTAAAGTGCATTCAAAGTGTGTATATGTGTGGAGATGGTTACGGTTATTGCATTAAGTGTGGTGGTTGAGCAGCCTGACGGCCCAGGGGTAGAAACTGTTTTTGAGTCTGTTTGTCCGTGACTTGAAGCTCCTGTCTCTCCTCCCAGAAGGCAGGAGAGAGAACAGTCTGTGACCTGGGTGAGAGCTGTCCTTTATTCTTTTGCTCTGCTGAGGCAGCGGGAGGTGGACATGTGTTCCAGAGAGGGCAGGGGGCAGCCGATGGTTTTCTCTGCCATCCTGATCACTCTCTGCAGGGCTTTCTTGTCCGCAGCTGAGCATCCTGCATACCACACAGAGATGGAGTATGACAGCACGCTCTCGATGGTCGCCCGGTAGAAGGACACCAGCAGCTTCTTGTTGAGTCTGTTTCTCCGAAGCACCCACTGGAAGTGAAGTTGCTGCTGGGCCTTCTTAACTGCTGCAGTGGTGTGTGCTGTCCAGCTGAGGCTCTCCAAAATGTGTACCCCCAGGAACGTAAAGGTGGAGACCCTCCACTCTCTCTCCATTGAGGTGAAGGGGGGCGGGTTCTGGACGGTGTTTTCTGAAGTCTATAATGATTTCTTTTGTTTTGCTTACAGGTTGATACAGGTTGTTTGCTGAACACCACGCAGACAGCTTCTGGATCTCGTCTCTGTATGCCGACTCGCCGTCTCCCTTATATATTTGACCGACCACAGTGGTGTCATCTGCACATTTTATAACGGAGTTGGAGGGGTGAATGGGAGAGCAGTCGTGTAGAGTAGAGGGCTCAGCACGCAGCCCTGCGGTGAGCCAGTGCAGAGGGTGCGGGTGGAGGAGCAATAAGGGTCTATTTTCACTGTCTGAGGACGGTCTGTTAGGAAATTGTTTATCCAGGCGCATATGAAGGTAGTAGGTTTTTGAATCCCTTCGTTTAATTAACACCCTTACCTCCACAGTCAGGTGGGCGATGATGGCCCGCTGGTGTCCCTCCAGCGTCTCCAAGGCGATCTGAGCGATCTCTGCTTCTGACTTCCCCATGAACATTTGGCAAGCTGCAGCCAGCATCTGTTTGTTCTGACCCTGGATCTTCATCTGTGGGAAAAAGCAACGTTTTTAATATTAAAACTGAAAAATATTGCTGTGTTCTTTCCCCATGGCAGCTCTTTTTCTATGCAAACCAATACCAGACACTCTGATAATAAAACAATCATAATAATAGCAAGTAGTGCTTGGAAATGTACCAATATGAGGACTACATATCTGCATTAATTTTGTAATTACATTTAATTTAGCTGACGCTTTTATCCAAAGCGACTTACAATAAGTGCATTCGACCAAGAAGATACAAACTTGAGGAGAACAGAATCATATAAGTACATCATGTTTCATAGAGCCAAAACATTTCAAGTGCTACTCAACTGGCTTTAGATAAGCCAGTCCTTTGTTAGTATGTAAGTGCTTTATTAGTATATAAGTGGTTTTTATTTTGTTTTGTTTTCATTTTATTGCTCGAAGTGGTAATATCACACAAGTTGAATTAAAAGCTGCATTATAATAAATAGTGTTCTGTACTTACCCGACTCTGTATTATTTGCTTTTAGCCACTTAAGGCATTGCAGCCACATTCCTGAAGATTATTTATCAAAAACCTCATTGTGTAAATAGTAGTCACCCCTACAACATCTTGGCAATATCAATATTGAGGTATTTTGTCACAAGATATTGTGATATTTGAATCTGTTGTTACATTTGCCTGAAGTACATACAAATAGGAAAATGATTGACTAATGCTGAGATTTGAAAAGCTACAACAGGCTCCCATCTGCCACATTTACTATCTGTTTTTCTCTCTTCTCTTTATCACTGTTTTAATATTTTTTGTAAGGCACTTTGAAATGTGCTATATAAATGAATTTGCCTTGTTTGGTGAATGTAACTTTCGAAGAGATGAGGATGAGCCATAATGAACAAACTCACTGAGTGTATACACAAACCTTGCCTCTTTATTATAAAGTGTATCCGGGTTAAGATGTAAACGGACTGTTTTTTCCCTTCTGATGACCCTAAGGGACTATTTGTCCTTTACTCTAGACCTTTCCCCCTAGGAAACTCCCTCCTGCTGATCCCTCTGCAGGAGGGATGCCCCACTGACCTGGGCTATCCCGGTGACGGAGACAGGCACCCCATGGCGGGTGTACACTTTATCGCTCTTCACATTCAGAGTCAGCGTGTTCAGAGAAATCCTGGAGAAAGGCAGGGTGAGACAGAAAGGAAATGATGATTATTGATTTAATATCTACTGCCCTAATGGTATACATTAAGGTTATTTCCGCTATGTACTCCTATTGAGATTCCAGCTAAAGAAAAAAGGCCTGTCCTGCCTGCAGGCTTGATCGATATCAAATTGCTGTTGTGAGATGTTAGTTGTAGACAAACAGGTAAGCAATGGTTTGTGTAAAAAATGAATTACATTATTAGACAAGAAAATGATGCTCCTAATCATTTGTATCTGCTAAGGAGGAGGAATATGACCACCGTTTCCAGGAGTCCATCAATCATCCTGGGATTTTGATCACATTTGGTGATGACTTGTATATGGTTTGTTAGTTACCTTTCAATAAAATATCCTGTAGTGCAAGCTAATCTTCTTTGCCAAACCAGGTCAGTTAAAAACATGACATTACATTGCATTTAGCCGCTGCATTCTGGATGAGCTGCAGAGGTCGGATGGCACATGCAGGTAGACCAGCCAGGAGGGAGTTTCAGTAGTCTAGGCGTGAGAGTCTAGGCGAGAGTTGTCGTAGTCTAGGCGTGAGAGTCTCGGCGTGAGTTGCAGTAGTCTAGGCGTGAGATGAAAAAGCACCAATGTCAGGAATAAAGATGGACAGAAAACAGTAAACATTCATATTTGCCGACCTCTGTAACTGCTGGATGCACGGGATGACGAACACTCGGCCTCCAGGTATCATCAGTGGAGGAGAACGACAAAACCCTGGGACACATAAAAGATCGAGCAGAGCCTCAAGTCAGACGTCAAAGGTTGAGTGATGTGAACAAAATATTGCAACATCAAGTTGTTATAGTATTAGATGTTGTAGCATGTTCTACTTCAAAATAAGACAGCCAACTGGATAAATAGAAATACTAATCTCTGCTAACAAAATGATCAACTAGATAATGTTAAATATTTGTTAAGCCCCATTTTGAATGGATGGAAATGAATGAAAAGCAAGAATGATACATTTGATTATGGTCTTTTTTTGATGAAGAAAGATGATTTATATAGGCCTAATTGTACCTGACACCACCATAGCCTCGTTAGGACCACAGGTGTAGAACATGATGGCTGATCCTCTTTCAAACTGAAAAGGAAAGAAAGTTGTGGAATAAAATAAAATAAAAATACTGAGTCACTATTAAATTCCCACCTTGCAAACACTCAATTTAATAAAATAAGTGTTTGGACATCTTCTATACAAACACATGTGTATTATTATATTAAAATATAAGGCCTCAAAAAGTAGCCGTTGTATGTACTGTAACTTGGCTTGGGTATCTGAGAGCAGACCAGCATGGATAGAATATAATTTACACAAATGTTACGCAGTAAAAATGGTCTAAAAGCCATTGAAATAACTGGAAACCCCACACATTAGAGCAGTAAGAGAAATGTGTGTTATATTACTATGTGCATTTTGCTGGCGGCTAGCTGTTTAACCATTAACTCAATCAATTTGACTATGTATGTTTACAATCGACAATGGCTGTGGATAGAGACGTCAAATAGAGACACACTTACCGGCTAGAAAATAAATGATGTAGTTTATGTAGAGTAAGGTGATAATGGTGGAATAAATAGCGGTCTGTTTTGGGAACAATTATTGTAATTTAGTCCCAGGTGACGTTTATTCGCGTTTGACAGCAGCTGAGATGATGCGTCCATGAACACAACATTGCAGCTCAGTGGTTTTTATTCAGCACGCCATCTCTCACCCTGTGAGCGGCCGCCATCTTGTGGCGGAGTGGATAACTGCAACTAACACACTGTTTATTTTGGGAAGCATGTTCAGTGCTTTGCTACATTCATGTGCTTCCCTTCTTAAAACAGTGGTGTAAAAACTACAATCTTGTACTTAAACCAAAGTAGCATTACATAATTGTAGAAATACCATAACAAGTAAAAGCCTGGTATTCAAACGTCTACACTGCTTTTGGGAATGAGTAATTATTGAACCCCTCTGGAGAACAAACGTATTTGTGTAGGTTTTCCTTGACTTGTTTGTATAGTGTATATTTAGGTTTGTATGCACTTTGCTATACAAAGTTGGAAAAAAAGTGTGCAAAAAAACTTAGGGTGATCTAAAATATACACAATAGGCTACGACGCCAAAATCAGGTTGACAAGTTATTTTCTTCATTATAAAATATACAAATATCTACCCATTCTATTCTTCTTTACTCTATTGTTTCATTTAATTTAGCTGGGCATCAAACTTATGCTTCATATAGGCTCCAACGGGACAGTGATGACAAAATCCTTCTTCTTTTCCGTTCCTTGAAAGAAAACTCTGTCCTTTCAGCCAATCAGCACCGGGGCTCCAACAACTTCAGCCAATCATTACCGTGCTCAGAGTGACGGCCGCATCCCAACACTTTAGCCCCGCCTGCAGGATTGTCCCACCGTGCAGTGCAGCCTTCAGCCTGCCTGTCAGTTGGTCAGCAGCACCTCTATCTCTGTGCCAACACTTTACTCATCACCAAATTACAGCCGTCATGAGGGCAATTGTGCACATCCAGGCCGGCCAGTGCGGGAACCAGATTGGTGCAAAGGTAAGAAAAACATCAACCCTTTTTTTTTTTTCATGATTAGCAACTAAGTTAGTTGCTTTCTTGTCAAGACATGTATATGGCATTCTTAACACTTTTAAAGAGGCCTTTCTTTTGTTGTATGTTATGAGAAAAAATCAACTGCTTCACCATAAATATCTACACCTGTATATTATTTATTGTAAGGCAAGGCAAGGGCAAGGCAAGGCAAGGTAAGTTTATTTATATAGCACTTTTCAACACAAGGCAATTCAAAGTGCTTTACAAAAAATGAAAGACATTAAGAAAAAGGCAGAGAAAGAATTGTAAGGATATAATGGCCCTTTATTTGCACTCCATCCTGTTGTTTCATAGACTCATTAAAACATTTAATGTGTTCATGTTTCTCTGCTAGATCGCAAATGTGATCACTTGTTTAATATGTCTTTTTCATTTTGAGTAACAGACATAGCAAATGTTCCACAACAATCTTTGTTGAACAAGAAAGTATCATCTTTATAGCCTACCCTTAAGAAACAATACTTAAATTAGTATTTCTTTAAGTTGTAGGTTTTTTTTGTCACCAACATGATTTGTTTTCAGTGCAAGCTACATTATCTAAAGCAGGGGTTCTCAAAGTGCGGCCCGCGGGCCAATGGCGGCCCTCGGAAATGTTTCTGGCGGCCCGCGATAGTTAATGTGACACGCTGAAATGCATGCGTTATATTTTAATCCTCCATGGTTGTATCTAGTAAGAAGTAGAATGAGTAGCTTTCCAGCGGTATCTCCTGTGAGACTGTAACCAGGGCACAGCAGCCAATATGGCCGCTCAAAGCAGCTTGACTTTACACTGTGTGGGATTGGTGGATTTGTGTGTCCGTCAAGGAAATCTCGGCCGGCAGCCATCATCGTCTGAAATGACCAATGGACATCGAGAAATCACTAAGGGCCTACCCACCAAGTAAAAAAAACATAAACCACGTGTCTCCCATTAGTTTACATATGTGAGGAGAGAGAGAGAGACAGAGAAAATGGCTAAAAAAAACTTTACAGTTGCCGACTTCGCTAGAGATTTTTTTCGCTAGCAGCAGTGAAGATAGAGCCTCAGAACCTGAAGTCTTCGACTCTTCTGAAGAAGCAGAATACAAAGACAACAACAAGGATCCATTTGGACATGGGTAAGTGTAAATATTACAGTAATAGTGTACTGGCAATGTGTGGGGAATACCGCGAAAATGAACAATAGGTTTATTGATATATATTTTGTATCGATAGTCATGAACTTTTTATTGGAACAAAATAGACTCTCCATTAGCAAACGTTTACTCTGTGTTAACGTTATTTTGGTGTGTAAAAGTGAGATTACATGTGTAGATGATTAAATTAATCATGTATTCGTCCCACAACGGAGACATTTACAGTGACATGTTTTTGCCATCGATTATTTTTATCATACTGTTCTGTACAGATGAGACTTTGTCATAGATTTATTTACATGTGTGCCTGTTATTATTTTACCGTCCTGTACAGATGAGACTTTGTAATCAGATGTAGCCTATGTATATGTGTTTCTGTGATTTTATACTGAATGTAAAGTAACTGGAAATACCTGTCTGTGTGTGTGTGTGTGCGCGTGTGAGAGAGAGATCGAGAGAGACTCCTTCTGCAACCTCCCAAACTCTCCATCTGCGGCTGCCACCAGGTCAAGATACACCTCAGCACAAAGGCTCCACCACAGCCATCACCTTCAACCCAGCCAGCAAGGAGGTCTCGTGGAGGTCTCGTATAGCACTTGTACCCCCCACCTACACAGCAGCCCATGCACCATCACCCCCACCTACACAGCAGCCAGACCCACTGTCTTGGAAGACAGACAAAGACCTTGACACTGTCTTGACATTTATAATGAATAGTTGGTTGAAAGTTCTGATGTTCAATATTGTAAATAGTGAGATTTCCCAGTTTCTTATATTTATATAAATAGTTGGTTGAAAAAAACATATTTATAATAAATTATTGGTTGAAAAAAAAAGGTTGAATGCTCAATTTGTATTTGTACACATCACATGAACCTTGGTATGTAATATGAAGTCATTATTCAGTCCTAATGTATCTCAGTTCCTGCTGTGGTGAAAGTAGAGTGATAAACACCTGTTTCACTCAAAATTTGAATTTAATGTTTTTCATTTTAGACATGAATAACACATTTATATACAGTGTAATTCAAATATTTCACTGCTTTTGTGATCCTAGGACTTTGGTAACCAAATCTAAAACACCAAAACAATTCGATCACATGAGTAAATTTGTGTTTTCACAAGAGTTTTGAAGATTTTCCAAAAATCGGATTTCACATTTTAAGCTTTTGAGCTACTTATCTCATCAAACAGTGCTCTAAGGTGAGCAATATGCATATATAGCAAGACCAGAGATTGTCCTGAACATTTTGATATTTAACACATGGGGTGCCATGTTAGAAAAAATACATTTAAAAGGTGATTTAAGAAAACATCTAAAAATCGAGAAAATACCCTTAGACTCCAGAGGGTTAAGAATGGTAAAACTGCGCCCCCTGGGTTGTCATTCCTAAATTATGAATGACAGCTTGTGGAAAGTTTGCTAGACTACTGGTTGCATGGCAATTAGGCATCTCGCGAGTTGCGGTAATTGGTTAGTACAATAAAGAAAGGATTTGTTTTGGAATTATTTTGTGTTCCGTTTTTTCTTCAATCCAATATTGGGTACCTAAATTGGCCCTCACTTATCAAAAACTTTGAGAACCCCTGATCTAAAGGAAATGTATGTGGCACTTTTATTACACATTTAATTTTAACATGGCTTTTGCTCACATTTATCAGTAAAACTGTGAAATAACATTCAAGTCACAATCAAAATGGAAATTAAAAACAAGAACCACACTTAATCCTATTGTGGGTGATAAACTACTGTAAGTACCTGACTGATACAAAGGGGCAGACAGAATCAATGTTGAATGATCTCAGTGAAGTGAATAATATAAAAGCACCACAAAGTACAGTAAAGTCTACCCATAGCCCAACAAGCACTCTAAACTAGTTTGTATTGTAGTGTTTAATATAGTGGGTGAAACAATAGAAGATTGAAGCTACTATAGCCAACCAGAAAGAACAGCCAATAGGATTTCTGGGATGAGAACTAATCATATCTTGTCTATGAATGCAGCAATTCACACATTAGGAACTGTTGACAAAACAGTGGCTTATGTTTATCCGCAATTAATGAAGCGGGCCAGACTGCAGCAGAGGCGCAGGACCAGCTGCTGTCGTCCGCCCAGAGGGCAGGGTCTATGTCCCTGAGGAAAAAAGACAAGTAGAAAACAAGAGGGAGAAAAGAAAGGAGAACTTTGCTGAGGCAGTGCGGAGGAACGCAGCAGGAGGGGGCTGTAAGGAGGGGGGGGGGAGATAACAAGTGGATCAGTGTCTGCCCTAAGAGCACAGAAGAGGTCATTTAAATAGCTGCTCACATGCACTGTAAACTCAATAAACCTTGTTTACACATGGCGCTACAATTATAAAGTAATTATCTGCTAAATTAAAATAATGTTATCGGCATTTATTATGCAGCTCTTTAAACGTCCTGTTCCTTCAGTTCCTAGACATCCACTGTCAGTCAAAAACACTTGACTCAGCAGTGGCTCAGTCAGTAGGGGCTTGGACTGTGAGCCGTAGGGCTGCCGGTTCAAGTCCCCGAACAGACCTAAATATGGAGTGTGGACTGTTACTTTGAGTAGGTCCCAGTTCAATCAATCAATCAATCAATTAATCAATCAATCAATGTTTATGTAGGCCTACATAGCCCAATATCACAAATGCTACATTTGTCTCAGTGGACTTCACAGTTTGTACAGAATATCAGTATGACAATACGACACCCTCTGTCCTTAGACCCTCACATCGTACAAGGAAAAACTTCCGGAGAAAAACCTACAGTTTAAAGAGGAAAATGGGAGAAACCCATTTATGGCAGTTCACCTCCTGGGCCCTGCCGTGGTGCCCTTGAGCAAGGCACCGGACAACCCCCTCCCCCCCACTCCCATTGCTCCCCGGGCGCTGTGCAATAGCTGCCCACTGCTCCTAGTACTAGACTCCTGGTACTAG